AAAACACTTTATGTTTCTTTGATTATTTCTTCATTTCAGTTTATTAATTTGTGGACTACACTGTAAACTAGCAGTTAGCTAAGTGTACTCTCCACAGTAAATAAGGTTAAATTTAATTTAATTTAATTTAATACATCTTACCAGATATTATTTTTCCCATCGTTTTGTCCGTTAGAAACACAGGGTAGAGGTTTCCATCCTCACTTTCTATATCAAGTATGCCAGCAATCATTGGTTTCTCGGAGCATGGATGATATACTATTATTGGTGCACCTTTGGCTCTTTTAACTTGAAAACCTTCTTTGCTAACACTTTTCAACTTGTTGCCATTTCTTGGATCTAACGTCAATTGAACAACCTTTTTTCCTTCAAAGGCATATGCATATAATTTATCATGCTTTGCAATTAAGTTTTTAAGAGTATCATCTTCTATAATTTCTAGAAATTCCTCGTCGTTGTGGCCTTTAAAAAATACAATCGAGACACGGTAGTTTATAGAACTGATCACCTGGTCTACCTCTCCTCTATGATTCTCGTTGTGTATATGATTTGGATATTGAGAACAGTAGCGTTCAGCAACTAGTTTACTCCCTTCATGACACAGAGGACTATTGAGCACTGAACAACTCGTGATGAAGACATGTACGTTTTCCTCCGTTTTCGTTTTTACACCGAATCCACGAACTTCCTTCTCATGATGATCACTACTATCAATCTCTAATACTCTAACCAAGGCTTTTCTTTTGTTTTTCTTACATTTCTTTGAGAAATTTGGTCTTGAAAACATTTTCACAAGCAGGTTCTTGCTTTTCTTTTCAAAATGCCGGTTCACAACTGTAACGAAAGTTTGGGTTTCCTGTCTCGGCCGTTCGATACTTTTAAGGTGGCTAACTACCGGTAGTTTTAAACGTTCAATTTGAGCCCACGATGTGCGCGCGCTCAAAAACCGCTGAATAATCTTCACGATTTTATTGAAGGACCACACACGCTTTGAACTTCAAGAGGGCAAACCCTCAAAATTTGCTCTGGACTCTATACTTTTTATGAGCTTATACGAAAAAACTCCTAAAAATGTAGGTTATATCATTTTTTAGAAAAAGTTGATTTTTCTAACACATGAAAAAATTGATTTTTGTAGCGATTTTTGTTCGACTTTATGAGAGTTTTTGAGAGCACTGAAACGACAAAATATGGCAGATCGATGTGTTCCTTTGTCGGTTTGTCAAAAATATACAGTAGCCGTCATTCGYGTAATCTATAAAGAGTCTGCAAAGAACTATTATCTTATGAATCTTAATTTTTTTCTGGTCAATTTTTGCAATTTTTGCTCCAAAAACTCACGCGTAGGCATCCGTTAAATGCTGATTATCTCGAAAACAAGCTCGGGACACCCCATTTTTCTTTTTATATTTGGAATCACCATTAAATTTCAATTTAAAGTGCTACTA